GGAGACCATTCTATAATCGTCCATTCCCTTTTAACTATTTGGCTTGTAATTTCCGATATTTTTCTTCTGACCATTCATCAGTTAGTTCTACAGTTCCGGAAGATTCACCAAAATTTCAAGATTAAATGATCCAGAAAGTTAGTGCAAAGACTTGTGAACAGTCGAAAAAAGATGAAATTGATGCAATGCGAAAGAAAGTTGTTGAATTAAATGAATATTTTAGTCATACATCGATGAGTATTATGAAAAAGATTTACCATTGGAACAGCCAAGAGTGGCCAAAGTGAAAGGTTATTATTATATTCTTTATTAAATTAATATTGGAAAAAAAATCTTATTTTACATTTTTCCAATATTAATTTGATTATTTTTGGAATTATCTTTTCTGATTATAATATTTATAATATAATAATATATATTTATTATAATTATAATAGTTGTCTTTTAACCTCATATTTTTGAATTCAACTGCAATATTTCTGGCAATTATTTAGAGAATTTTTTTTTTCAGAGAAGAGTAAAGTAAAGAACAAAATTTCAGTTGTTTGATGAATGAATCAGAAATGTGCAAGAAGCATGATTATTTAGTATTGACGGAATCGTACGAATTTTGAAATTTGAATCTGCTGAAGATTTAGCTTGTCTAGCAGTGCCATTATGAATCATACACGTTTCTACTTTTCTATATGATAATTTGCGCATATTTGCTCGCAATAATCGGCATGGCATTGCAATTGTTGAAAATCTTCATAAATGTGTTAAAACACGATTAAATTCGGTTTTTTTTAGTTCATTTATGGACGAAGCTGATATTTTATTTGTTATTTGGCCAAAAATTAAAATTAAAATTATTATTTATTGTTTATAATAATTAATAAATAATTAATAATTAATAAAAAATAATAAAAAATTTTTCTTCATTCTTTTAAATTTCTTTTTGTTTTCATTTAGGTTTCTGTCTTTTTAGCAAATGCCTACATTTATGAAAAGGACGGATGGCAATTCGTCAATGTAGGAAATGTATTTTCATACATATCATAGCATCAAAATTGTACACTAAACATGAATCTTTGTGGAGTGGATATGACAATGAAATTTCTGATGATTCTGATTTTATGCTTCAATTGATTCTTTATTAAATTAGTATAATATTGGAATTATGTAACTTCTATTGTTAAATTTCCAAAAAAAATTTCAAAAATTATCAAAAAAATTTTTGGAGCAAAAGGCATTTGCATATTTCCAATAAATGCATCCAAACATTGTGAATAACCTTAAAATATAGAAATTTCACTAGAAAGAAAATTAGTGAAAACGATTTTCGTTAATTTTTAATCTTTATTAAGCACAAAAATATAGTGCTATTACTATTACTAAGATATAAAATTTGGCCATTGGCTATGGCCAATTTCCGCAAAAATAAAATTCCGTAATATATGATCCATTCAAAATACAGTCGAAGACAAAAAAAAAAATAAAGAAGAACAACATGCTTTAAAGTGAATAAATTTCAAATAAAACACACGCATGATAACTCTCCCTCAGGCATATCCCGAGAAGTCGGGCAAAGATCTACACTTTGCCCGCTGCTAGCGCTATAAAAACTCGCAAACGATCACTCCTGTTCATTCGAGATATAGGAGTGATGAGGGAAGATGGAGGGTGAGGTAAGGGAAAGGTTAAGGATGAGGAAAATGGTAGGAAATAGGGGCTTGGAGGTTTTGGGCAGGGACGTTAGTAAACATAATGAGCGTATTACATTATTTTATTTTATAATTTCATCATTTAAGCATCGTAGCGGAAATGAAAAAGACGGATGACAATTCCTCAATGTAGGAAATATTTTCATACATATCATAACATCAAAAGTGTACACTAAATATGAATCTTTGTGGAGTGGATATGACGATGAAATTTCTGATGATTCTGATTTTATGCTTCCAGAGTAAATTGATTCTTTATTAAATTAATATTGGAAATATGTAACTTCTATTGTTAAGCTGAGCAAATCTAATCAAAATATAATAATTTTAAAGAAGAATTTTGAAGCAATTAAAATCTTTTAAAAATAAAAATAAAATCATAAAATTTTTCAAAATTTTATATTAAATATTCTATAGAAATAACAATAAGAAATGAAATAAGAAGTGAAAAAAATAAAATTAACTGTAAAATTAACTATGTTATAAATTACACTTTGAAATATTTTTTTTTATCGAAATATGTCATGCAAATGATTACCTTAGAAACTAAAAATTTTTCCAATTTGCTCGTCCATTAAATTCATTCAGTTCATAATTTGAAGCGAATTTCAATAATTTCTATCGATTCAATCCCCCCCTCCCCCCCTTATATTGGCAAAATAACTAACTTCTAAAATATAATATGATTGCTTCCTATTGCTTATAACTTATTTTTATTTACTATAAAATAACAAAATAAACGTTAATGCATCGATACTTCTAATAGCAAATTGTATCGCTTCATCACTTTCTATTCGTTTAAAAAAATGAAAATCTCTTACTAAAAGTGAAATCAATTGGCTGCTAATGGCCTAAACGTACTTCTATCAGCAAATCTCTCGCTGAAATGCCTCAGTCTTATAAATTACAAACGTCAGAAGTGGCCTAAGCCTATTTACAACCAAATGATTTGTGGCTCTAGCAAATCTCCTTTATTTATCGATAAAATATTCTAATTTATCGATAAAATTTTTTCCTTTAATTTTATAATATTTTAAATCAAATTTACTATTCAATTTTGCTGAAGATAGTTTAAAAATCATTAATTTTTTAAAGAAATGAGGAATTTTACTATCAAATTATTCTAACAGAAAAAAAAGAATATCTTTGAGGGAGAAAATCCGCATCGTTTTTATACGAGCCAGATTCAAAAATATGTAAATAATATTCGCAAAAATAAAAAACGGAATAAAAAAAGATTTTTATTTTTTCTCCAATATTAATTTAATAAAGAATCAGTTGACTCTGGAAGCATAAAATTAGAATCATTAGAAATTTCATCGTCATATCCACCCCACAAAAATTCAAAATCATAGCAATTTTGGCGTTATGATATGGAAAATATTTCCTATATTGACGAAGTACCATTCGCCTTGTTTAATAAAGGTTTAATAAAAGTAAGCATTTGCAAAAAAAGACAGAAACCAAAACCAAAACAAAAAGAAATTTAAAAGAATGGAGAAAAATTTTGTTTTTTTATTGATTATTTATTAATTGTTACAAACAATAATTAATAATTTATGATTTTGATTGATTTTTTTTGGCCAAATAAAAAATAAAATATCAGCTTCGTCAATAAATGAATTAAAAATGAATTAAAATGAATTAAAAATAGAAAAAAAAACAAACCGAATTTAATCGAGTTTTAACACATTTTCAAAGACTTTCAACCACTGCAATTCAATGCTGGTCATTATGTGATGAGCAAATTATCATACAGAAACGTGTGCCACCATATATTTAAAAATATACATAAATAAGTATTATATGATAATTAATAATTACAATATTATCATATAAAGAGATGAGTATTTTTTAAAGAAGATGGCACTGCTAGGCAAATTAAATCTTCAACAGATTCAAATTCCAAAATCCGTACGATTTTGTCAAGACTAAATAATTGATTATCAGGCTTCTTGCACATTTCCAATTCATTCATCAAACAACTGAAATGTTCTTCGGTAAAAAAAATTTTTTTTCAAATAATTGCCGGAAATAATGCAGTTGAATTCAAAAAAATGAAATTAAAATACATATCACTAATCTCATATATCTTGAAAAATATTATAATTAGAATACATCATTTAATATTATAATTAGAAAAGAAACACTTTCAAAAAAATTAAATTAATATTGAAAAATGTAAAAGTAAGATTTTTTCCCATATTAAGTTAATAAAGAAATATTAATTTAATAAAGAACATAAATAACCTTTCACTTTGGCCACTCTTAGCTGTTCTAATGGCAAATCTTCTTCGTAATTCATCGATATATTGACTAAAATATTCATTTAACTCAACAATTTTCTTTCGCATTGCATCAATTTCATCTTTTCATTTTTTATTGACTGATTTTTGCACTGGTATCACCCGATCTTGAAATTTTTGATGAACCTTCCGGAAAAATATCGAAAATTACGAGCCAAATAATTAAAAGGGAACGGAAATGGTCTCCAATTGCTCATTATGGAAAAAAATTCTGATTAACAAATGATTAACGAATAAATGAAGTTTGCGACAACATCGCATAAATTAACCGCGATGGGATTCGCATGGATGATAACTTTCTAAATTCACTGTTCAGGAAGTGGCCGATATATAGCGTAAACTTTGACATTTTCAAGTTCATCCAAGACGTCAAACCCATCAATAACTCTAAAAACTTCAAAATTCCAAAATTTAAACTTTACAATTAATAATAATAATAATAACCTGAATAATTTTTGAATATCTTTACGCGAAGACTAACAAAATTTGAATTGTTTTAGTGAATGAAACACTAATTATTTTATGAAATCCCAGATTTGTGGTATAAAAATGAATTGCAATGAATGATAAAAATAAGTCTAAAATAATGT